TTTCTCTGCCCCGCCCCCACCCCTCGCTCTCCCCCAGCCTCACCCACTTTCACCAGCTTGGGGGGGAGGGGGGCAAGATGATTCATTTCACATCAATTAGGGTTGCCAGATGGTTTCCATAAAAATACCAGACACATTTGACATGACATCACAATCTACATTACGTCTTAGTTAGAAAATACTGGACATTTATATTTTCTCAGTTATGTTTTCTCAATTTGATTCCCGAAGAGAAAGCTCAAATACTGGACTCTCCAGTTCAAAACTGGACAGCTGGCAACCCTACATGTCAAGTATTTCACTGTCCTGCTGTTCACTAGAGGCCCTGCACTAGAAAAATCTGACTTTCCCCCTGGTTTTGAAACAGCTGGCTAAACTTGCCTGATTTTGATTTAATTCTGTTGCAGGAAACTACAAGGAGCATCCCTGACAAGTACTTGGATCACTGGCCCCCTTCTAACATAGTTACCAGGCCCTGCCTGCACCCTGTTTTGATAAGCTAATGAAGAGAGTGTGACAGACACCCCATGCTGCAGCCTCTGTCTCAAAGACAGCGAGAGGAAATACATGCTCTTTGAAGACACTTTTGGTTACATCTCTAGTCCTCATGCCAAGAGCATGGTAGCTGAGGCAGTGATGGCTAGAGAGAAGATTGATCCAATGTGTGATGCTGTACCCTTGAATCCTGTGCCTTGATACTCAAATTCATTTGGATAAAGGGTATACCCCCTCCCTTGCAACTCTTTCATTATGAATTACCAGGTAAACATGGCCAAAGTCTCTTTTCCAGATTCAACACCACGAGTTCCAAAACCACTTTGTGTCAAGGCCAAGCAGACTTTGTTGTGGGTGTTACAATAGTGAGAGCTGCTGCCTCTGGATTGACCACTCATGGATGTGCTTGGTTCAAGTCCTCTGGCTTCTACCAGGAGATCAAGAAAAAACATGAGAACTTACCCTACAGATGAGAGAACCTTTTCGGAGAACAGGTGGAGTCCACCTTACAAAAGGCGAAGGAAAGGCTGGCCCCTCACCATTTCTTAGGTTGGTGTACACTGCTCCTCAGAATTTTACCCACCACCATGCAGGTGGGGAGGGGAAGACTCCTCTTCAGAAGCCAGATTTACTTTGACACTTGGTTTCAAGAGTGTTCGGTATCTTTCTATATAGGTACCCACTCTCGGCAGAATTTGTAGTATACAGCAATCATCTTTCTACAGACATAAAAAACCACAGGGACTTTGAAGAATTCCAGAACATTTAGCCAGCTAACTGGGTTCAGTAGCCTGTCAGGACCGTCCTGAGTATTGTTTGGTGAAGTTACATGGTTATGATTTTCAAAAACTCTCCAGCTCTCCCTCCTTGAGAATGCTCTGGGGCACCATCTTATCATGAAGAGCTGCCGCACAATGGAAATGAGAGCCCTTGAGGACATGCCATGGCATGAAACAGAGAAGGGGCTTTATTCCTTGTACATCTGGAGACCCACATTTGTATTGGGCCAAAAGACTTCAAGATAATTATATTGGAAACCTTCCCACCACTTCTAAAGGAAGGCAGCTCGTTGCATGCGTAGGACATTGCAGAAGCTTTAGCTCAGTTTATCCCAAGGCAATTTACTGGTTCCACTTGTGGCAGCAATGTTGGGTGTCGTAGTGTAGGACTGGGTCACCAGCATTTTTTATAAGTGATCTGCAAAGCTTTGTTCACGTTTTCAGTTTGATACTCATGTTCCATAAAGATCCACTTCTGTGCTCATTTTTTGACAAAATTCCTTGCCCCAAATTTTTAAATTAAAAATTTTTCTCCCTTTCAAGGAAAAATCTTAAGTGCTTCTCCATTTAAATTACAGTTCTCTCTGGTATCACTGCTGTTTTCCAAGCAGGTACAAATAACATGTCTTTCTCTAAAGTCTTGTACAGCTACTCTAAAATAATTATTCTGTTATAGTTATTCTGGAATAATTCCCCCATGCAAATACTCTCTTTGCCAACGTAAGTGACTTCTAGATTAATTGTTTGGTTCTGGCTGCAAAGTAATTATTCATACAAATGCTCTTATTTCAGAATAGTGTGACTACAAAGGAGCTTTATTCCTAAATAGCTAAATTATACTGGGTGAGCTATGCCGATCGAGTTCCTCTACCTAGACAAGATCTAGGAACACACTTTCCACTTAGTACACAGCTACATTGTCTTGGTTAAAGCTGTTACAGTGCTGCCTCTCAGCTGCTTGGGGGAGGAAAAAAAGATTCAAATTGCAGCTCAGTAATTCCCATGTTCATAGGATCTGTGATGTCTTTATTTTGCAGTAAACCAAGTTGCATGAGTTGCTGAGTGAAAGGGGATAGCAAAAGACAAACTTCCAAGGAAGAATGAAAGATAGAAAAAAATTCTTTTTGCCTTGTTTTTAATTGATTAGAGCTTTAACACAGACTAATATATGAACATTAGAAATGATTCAAAGAACTTTTGTGTCACCCTGAACTCAATTTTGAATGCTAGTTAAACGTACCTGTGCCTGGTTTCATAACATAGTGTTTATAGATGCTGGCAGCATCTTATCTGCACTATAGCTCCCAACATTTCTAACATCAGTCAGGCTGAATCAACAGGAAAATGTTTAGAAAAAACATTTCTAGGTAGGAAAACAACCAAGTTTCATGTCCGGTGTCTTGGACATCTGTGGCACATAGTGTAGACATGAATGCTTGGCAGTAGCTGTAGGCTGCTTATGTAGAGGGGAATGCATGTGTTCTGCTATTTAGACAATTGGCTGGTCAAGGTCTCCCCTCCAGAAAAAATCAAAAGATAAGACTGTGTAATCCCTGTTAGAGACACTGGATAATTTAACACATATCATAGGGCACCAACTCATCTCTGATAGGAACCTACCCAAAAACTTCCCACTCCAGGACTGAATCAACACAGTAGCAGCTGGGAGGAGAGCGAATGCAAGAGCTGGTGTCACATGTTAACTGTTATGGGTGCTATGATATTTGTAGTGTCCATGGTCCAGCTCCATGCAGGACCACTTCCAAGGAGATGTTCACTGCCAGGTAGCTCTGTAGGCCTCCGTTTATGTCCCCCTGGGCTTTGTACCATTGGGGATGACAGTCGAATGGGGCTGTGACGTGAGCAGCAATGGAACATTGGAGAGTGTACGTCCTATGGCAGTTGGGGAT